CTTGAGGGATCCACCTACCCTGTGCAGGTATGGACGGATCACAAGAACCTCATATATTTCACCACGACCAAGGTTTTAAACCGCAGACAAGTCCGCTGGGCAGAAACCCTCGCAGCCTACAACTTCACGATAACCTATCGCAAGGGCTCCGAGAATGCAAGAGCAGACGCTCTCAGCAGACGGACCGACTACGCCGGCCCAAAGGAAGAAAGACCTAGAGCAATTCTGAAGAAAACAGATGCAGGAATACAGTACAACGAGTTACTAGCGACGATCTCAGTCATCGAAGATACAGAACTCGAGGAAAGACTCAAGAAAGCTTACGCAACAGACGAATGCGCCAAGCGAGTCTTGTCCAAAGTCGAAGGCGACTTCGCCATCGACGAACAAGGATTGATTCGATACAAAGGGTTAGTGTATGTCCCAAGTCAAATGAGACGCCCGCTGGTGCAAGAACAACACTCGTTACCAGCACACGGTCATCAGGGAGTAACACGAACCTTTGAACGAATCACCCGACACTACTACTTCCCAGGTATGAGGAAGCAGGTAGAGACAGTGGTAAGAGAGTGCGACATTTGCAGCAAGTCAAAATCCAATAGGCACCTGCCATACGGACAACTCAAGTCGACACCAGTACCAAAAGGAGCATGGAAATCAATAGCTTTGGACTTCATCGTCAAGCTTCCACCCTCCAAGGACCTGTTAACAGGAATAGAATATGACTCTATCCTCGTCATCACGGAAAGACTCACGAAATATGGGAAGTTTATACCATATCTAGAAGCTAGCGACGCCGAGGCGCTCGCATATACCTTCATTCAAGTCATATTAGCCGATCATGGGATGCCAGAAGAAATCATCTCAGATAGAGACAAGCTCTTTACTTCGAAATTCTGGAAATCATTGATGGCGCTACTGGGAACAAATCATAAGCTATCAACAGCTTTTCATCCCCAGACAGACGGCCAAACAGAAAGATTAAATCAGACCCTTGAACAGTACCTGCGAAGCTATGTCAATCATCAACAGGACAACTGGGTTCAGATCTTACCCATCGCACAGTTTGCATATAACAGCGCGATGACAGAAGCAACGAAAGTCTCACCGTTCTTTGCCAATTATGGCTACCAGCCAGAAGCATATAGGCAACCAAGACCGGATGAATCACGAGCTGAACAAGCCCTGATCGTGGTGGAACAACTGAGATCGTTCCACGAACAACTTGCGACGGACATCCAATTCTTAAATGAACGATCCGCCGCATACGCAAACAAGAAGCGCAGTATGGAACCTGCCTTCAAGGAGGGGGATAAAGTATACCTACTCCGGAAACATATCAAAATGAAACGACCAAGCACAAAGTTGGACTTCAAGAAATTGGGACCATTCAAAATATTGAACAAAGTCAGCTCAGTTAATTACAGACTGCAGCTACCCAGGAAGTCTAGACTACACCCGGTATTTCATGTCTCACTACTGGAACCAGCAAGAGGAAATACCCCAATTGCGACCGACACTGAACTCCAACCCGAGAATGAGATAATCGAATATGAGGTCGAAGCGATCCTAGACAGAAGGTTAGTAGGACGTCGAGAAGAGTTTTTGATAAAATGGGAAAATTACGAACCTACGGATAATTCGTGGGAACCAACAAGGAACATCAGCAAAGAACTGCTGGAGGAATATCGACACCGCCATCCGCCAGCCATTGATCCCAAGATGCAGGGGAGTAGGCCAGTGGATCGGAGGAAGCGGGGGTCCCGGTTACAGACGAGGAGGCAGCGCTAACTGCCTGTTCCTCAGCCTCAACAGCGTCACGCTTCTCAGCAGCCACACGTTCGGCCTCCTCTGCCGCATCAAGCTCGTCGAGGGTTTTCAAACCTCGCCGGAGCATATCTTTACCACGGGTTCGGATGAGGCGTTTCTGCTTCCGCAGACGAAGTAACTTCGAAAGGGTTTCTTCCTCTTCGCGATCCAGGCGATCCTCCTCCCGTTCGAGCTTCACCCAGTCGGGATGCTCAGGACCCATACAGTCACACTTTTCTTTCAAGTTGCGACGAACGCACTCGGCGCACCGCCGTGAATCATTTGGAGATGACACGCAAGTAACGTTTCGCCTCACGCAGTTCGAGCAAGAATCCATTTTGGGTAGTTCGTATCCGTGGTTCTTTATTCGACGGACAAGATCGTTGCGTTCCTGGAGTTTGCGGGCAGTGTCAGTAGGCATGTTGCATGTTGAAGGACTCGCTGAGGAGCAGCAGAGTCCCGGGGACATGGACGTACTTATAGGATTCGAGACGAATGCCCAGGGGAAGGGAGCAAGTGTTACGACGGAACAAGAAGGCTGGCCAACTACAGGACAGGAAGGAGGGAGGTCGCATGAGACCGGCCCTGGTACCTGGAGGGGCAGCGGGGAATAGTAGTTCCGAAAGTATCATGTGACGGACTCGCAGGATGATGAGAAGAGTCCTAAGAGTCCAGGACTCCGAGGACTCGAGTGAGTTCCCAGGAGTCCACTAGGCACGTGACGGACTCGCAGGATGATGAGAAGAGTCCTAAGAGTCCAGGACTCCGAGGACTCAAGTGAGTTCCCAAGAGTCCACTAGGCACGACGCCACTATATAAGTAGATAGTATTTCCTTAGATAGGAGCTTCGTGCTCAACTCAATACAGTATTTGTTATATACTAGTAACGTGTTACTTGAAGCCTTTGTGTCTGATCCCCTGCCTCCTCTGATAAGTAAACCTTTACGCAAGAGAACCTCTGTGTCTTCTATCGTTTAGAAGTCAGCGTTACACTCCTGCTGAGACAAAATATTGTATGCATCCTCTACTGTAAGTGCACCTCCTTCACGGATACAGTTCTTTTTAGCCCTGCGATGCTTGCTAAGCACTTCATTTGCTGCTCGAAGTGTATGGATCTCCTCTGTTAAAAGGGTATTCTGGTGAGCTAATCGCTCAGTGCCCTTTGCTAACGCAAAGACTGTCTCAAAAAGAGGTGTTGGCGAGCTTCCCTGGTGACGGGCAATCCTTTGCTTCACAAGAGTTGTCTGTGAGAGGGCCTCGGTAGGGTTGTGAGGTGTCTGGGAGACCCAAGGGTCGGCGTCGGCAGGGGTAAGGCAGGAGATGGAGTCCGTAACTTCACATCGAGCTTTGAAATAACAGCTTGAGGGTTGAAAGGCACTAGGCCAGCTCTACGGAATCCAGCCTGAGCGTTTTGGGTCGTTATTGACTCTATAAACACTGCTTGGAAGGCAAGGAAGAACTTGACCTTAGTAATATGGTTAATATGAGCCTTAATAAAGGTCTTGATTTGTCGCCCATATGCCCTTTTTAACACACTAAAACACCCAACGTCAAGTGGCTGGGTAAGATGGGACGAGTGAGGAGGCAAACAAAGAGTAATAATGTTGTGAGCCTTACAATACTCCTGAAATTCGGCCGATTCGTGACTCTCGTGCCCATCTAACACAAGCATTCGATATGGACCCTTCGCACGAGTAGCAGTGTGTTTATCGAAGTGTTTGATCCATTCTAGACCCGTCTCATTATTTGTCCATCCATTAATTGTTGGCTTAATCACCCAGTCGTTTGGGAGGTCGGCCTCAGTGTGCCAATTCGTGAGGTGATTCTTCCCTTGCACTACTAAAAATGGAGGCACATTCCAACCCTCACTACTAATACAAGCAATCGCTGTTGCCCATTCCCGATTGCCAGGCTGAACTGCCTTGCCTCTGCCACATCGATCGGTATGTGTAACAACCATTGCTGGACAAATAACTCCCATCATAAACCCCGTCTCGTCGAAGTTGTAGAAATCGCAATCTAGAACGCCATATTTCTCCCTCATATTCCCAACAAGTCGAAACCACGCGCCAATAAGCTCAGGATCTTCGCACAAGGCCCTTTGAAAGTCATAAACGCGATTAAAACGCGTCTTTAACTGTGGTTGCCGTTGTACGAATCGATGGGCCCAGAGCTTTCCTACGAGGTTCTGTCCTTGCGATTTAAGAAGAAGATTAGCCATATCTTCAACACCAGCAAGTCGGGGCGCAAATCCTCTGGAATCCAGACTGAGTATATACTGAACAATTGTATCCTCTTCTATATTGTTTAATTTGTGACAATTCGATCGAGCTTCGGCGCGGGGGGTTCGGCCAGCCATTCTATCGCGGAGTGTTGATTCGGGCACTTTATAGATCTTTGCAGCAGACCGACAGCTGATTTTTCTAGATGATCGGATAGCTTCGATAGCAAGAATAATACTTGCTTCTTGAGTTTGAATTTCCATTTGTGGTGGTTGAAAAAACGCGTATTGAAGTTAGTAGGTTGGAATGTGGGGGAAAGTGCACGACTCGGTGATATGCGCGACTCGCTGATAAACCACGTTATACGCTTTATCAATAATCATGATTATGATTACGACTAAATAATCATGATTATAATTGATTTTCTAACCCTGATTTTAAGTAGCTTTACAAACATATTTTGGTGCAGAGTGACTTTTTTGCGTTACGCCTTCCTAAACCCGAAGGCTTTTTCGTCTCGCCATTGTTTTTTTACAAGTTTGAAGTTACGAGGTGGGGTTTTAGTGACCATTACGCCACCATGACCATTACAGCACCTCTTAACGTTACCGGTATTAGAAAAAGATTCTAATACCGAAGATGTTCCTATTTGCAAGGGAATGCATAGTAGACCGTCTAGATACTATTGTACAAGAAGACAACGCGCCATCACACAATCATTACATTTAGCAGCGAGTATTTGAATTACAAGACATTAATCGCCTCTTCTAGTGTGCTAACTCTTTAGATTTAAATGTCATCGAGCCGTGTTGGCTATGGATGAAAAGGAGGACTATAAGGAAGGGGGCACCAAAAAGTCGACCAGACGCGATACGAGCTTGGGAGACCTGTTAGGAAGATCTCCCTCAGTCGCAAATCCAAGCCTAGGTCGAGAGGATTCCTCAACATCTCCAGAAAGTCATCGAGCTAGAAGGCGGAAATGAGTACAAGGAGGGGCGAGAAGAACACTGATTTCATAACTATGTACATAACTAAATTGTGAACTGTGGCGTTTCCTAGCGTGGGACAAAACTTTTGAACGCTTCCTCCGTACTCCCACTGCCCTCTATGGCCGTTGACATACCCTAAGGGTCATATAACGGCCGGAACTGCTCGGTGAAACTATTACTCTAATTTCAACCACATAAATATAAATTATTTGTATCCCCCAATATGTGCCTACACCATCGCGTCATGATATTGTAGCACCTCCATTTTCACTCTCACACCCTCCCCCGTCTCCTCGCTCTCGCCACTAATACCACTCCTCACACTCCCCGCCTCCACCTTCGTCATACTCCCCATCTTGACACTCGTCAACCTCGCCTCCTCCTCCACATCCAGATTATTAAAACTCCTTCCCCCCGGCCTGCTAGGATACGTGCCTCCCGCACCGCTGCGGTTCGACCCCCTCACCGTCCAACTGGCGAAGAACGCGCGGCAGCTAGGCACGCACGCGCAGATGATGCTAAGGTGCACCTCGACAGCCGCCCAGAGCCAACCGAGGTAGCCGTACCAACTCACATCGTAGGTGCGCAGGAAGACGACGACGTTGTAGTACAGCCGGATGGAGGCGGCGACGATGACGATCAGCCCGGCGGAGAAGAGGGAGATGACCTGAAGTTTCTGGGTGGTGCGGATTTTGAGTGTGAAGAGGGAGCGGAGGGGGATGGCGAAGATGATGAGGTCGAAGATGAGGGTGAGCACGCCGGCGGTGACCGCGTGTATTCCCTCTTCTATGCAGGTGCCCTCGGCACCGGGGATGAGAATTTTCCAGTAGTATGAGAGGGGACTAGGACGTGTTAGAGGTGGCTGTTTGGCTGGGGGAGGGGTTTGACAAACCGGCACTGGACGAAGAGGATGATGAAAAGGACGACGTAACAGATAACCATTGAGCCAAGGGTGATTTTGGTGATGAGCTTGTCCTTTTCGACGAGGATGCGAAGGTAAAAGACGAGGATGGAGATTTTGGTGAGGAAGGAGGAGGCGAGGTAGAGGAGCATGCTTGCCCAGCTGACCTGTGATGTTGTTAGTCGATGTAGGATACCAGATAAGGGCCTGTGCAGTCGGGGCACATACCTTTCGACTCGTAACGCTATCCTCCTGAGGCAGATCCCACACGTGTATATCCCATCCATAATTATTTATCGCGAGTATAACCCCCACCGTCAGGCCCAGCCCAACAATCTATCACGCGTTAGTCTCCATACCACCAAAACCAACCCCGCGCCTGTCTTAAAAAAGAGGCAGCGACCCGAACAAACATACCGCGGAAATCACAATTAACACATCATCCAACCCAACCCCCGCCTTCGTAATCGCTAATCTCGCATATAACCTGATCGACACAAACAGGGTCACCAGCGCCACCAGGACGGCCTGGGTAATAATACTCTCGTTGCCACGGCGCACTGGATCGACATAATTGGGCTCTGGCCACGTCGCCGTGACCTCGGGCGGCGGGAACCTCATGTTTGCAGCACGGGCATGGGGCCCTGTCCTATTCTATTCTGATGTGTCTGTCTTCGCGGAGACGTTCGCTTCGGAGAGGCACAGCGTGCGGGTATGATCGGACGGAGGCACGTTATGGAGAGTTGGGGTGCAAACGCCATGCGCTGGGGATGGTAGGGCCCTTTAAGTGCAGCTGGTGGCTTTAAGTGCGAGCTGGTGGCTTTAAGTGCAGCTGGTGGTCCAGATCGTCGCCGCACGGCTACTGTTCCTGGTTCGAGGGGTCGTCCACATAATTGTGCATTGATGGGATGGTGGGAGGAGGAGAGGAGGCTGCGGGCACCAATGGAAAGAGATGGACGGGATAGAGAAAGGAATGGAAGGGATAGGATGAGAAACTTGCTGGGGGGCGAGGTCGCTGACAGGAGCGCTGACGGCCTGGAAAGAGAGAGCTCAACCATCCATCGGCCTTACCGTCTGGTACTGTGTTTTTTGGAGTGGCGGCCGAAAGAAAGTGGCGGAACCAAAAGAATGAGGTGGGTTTAATGGCTAGTGGCTATGCACGTGAGTGGGTAAGTGGCTGTGCACATGGGGGGAGTTGGACCTAGGCACTGTGGCTGAGTGAGATTTTATTGAATCATTCTGCCGTAGTTGACATTGTCTTTGGTGGCGTTACAGTCATAGCGTACTGTGGCGCAAATCACCACTTCACATGATCGCTGTAAAAAATCAAAGGATCAACGTTTAGCCGACGGACAAATTTTAATGTGGGTACTGTGTTTTGATAGATGGACATGACTCGTGCATCTTAAGCCGATCTTACTCGCCGGGATGTAACATCCTCATATGAAGTGGTTTAGCTGTACCATACATAGAATTCTCCGGTAAGCCGTCAGTAAGCCACAGCTCCACCAGCGCCAGAGAAGAAAATAGGGGGAACAAAATATTGGCCACACAAGCCGCCACAGACGACTAACCTAACTAGCTATTGACCCACCAGAACTCCCCGAACTCCTCCCCGCCTAACCCCTCTGTCTCTACTAGTGCCTTAGCGAAGATGGCTGCGAAGTAGAATAGTGATATGATAAACACAAGTATCACGAGTAGGGTCCAATTGATCAGAAGTGAAAATGCACAAGCAATATTAATCTAGCTACTCTAACTACTATATATATACTGTAAAACCCTGCTCTGAGCTATTCTCAGGAGCGGGAAACCCGGGGCTTTCCTGCCTAATTGGGAGAGCTCTGGTCTTGGATTTTGTATCACTGCCAGAGGTGGAGGTGGCGCGGCCTTGGTTATCCCCTTCGGGGGCGGAGAGACATCCGATTAGCTTAAATTGCCAGTATCAATCATCGGCTATATACAGCCTTTTTTCAGACTTTTGGGCGGCACGAGTACTTTCTTTGGTTATCCAAAGACCGAAGTTTGCAGCTGGACATGTTGAGTAACTAGTATGCAGTGTGTGTACGACGTCGCCAGGCTGGTAACATATGTCTCACATAATGTCAGTAATGCTGTAATGATGTACGGTTACGCTCGCGCTACATCCCACTGAGCCAAAAAGACTACAGTATTCCGGCTCGCCCGGAATACGCGTAACACGCTTTATATACCACATGTACTGTAACGGCGGCGGCACCCCGTTACAAAATGATACGCCAGTTGACATATCGCGCTTGGACAATGCATGAATACATACGCAAGGGGTTTCGTAAACCAAGGGGACGCAACATAATTACCCACATCAGGCACGAACACATGTATATTAAGTATAACCCGTTGTAAACATTGATAACACTTCAATTAATATGTGTTGTCCCACACTGCAAGTCTAAGTAACTTAGTTATGCACCCCGAATCTGGGTGCCCAAGTTATCACTTTTGGTTTGTGATGACTACGCCACCATGCCATTGAACCACCAGGGTATCTGAGCCCCCCCAAATACTGTAGTGAGACCACATATGATCTGAAATATCTGCCGATACAAAACGATATGTGACATAGTACCATATCTCTTCCCAACGGACTACAGTCAGCTCCTAATCCGAGATGATAGGTTAATTCAACTCACTATGCGCGCCTTAATTGGCCTCCTCTTGAATGGACATCATATTTGGGCAACATTGTCCTCTGCAGCACTCTTTTTCCACGTTGCACTCAACGATATCGTTGGCGACGAAGTGCCAGTCCAGACGGCACCCGCCACATTTATTTCCATACGACCCATATCTTTCGATTGGCGTGCACTTCGGTGGCTCCACCACAGTCTTGTCCGCCGCAGGAGTTTCCGCCACAGACACCGAGACAAAGAGAGCTGCGATTGCAAAAATAACGGTGTTGATACGCATAGTTGCGGTTGAAGTGTTGCTTTTTGGACTGCTGGGGTTGGATTTGTGATGAAATGCCGTTATGGAAGCAAGGGGTAATAGATTAGGAACACAAGGCCTATAAGTACTCACCAACTGACGCTACATATTTCACTAGATTCAGATAATAGTATCACCGCAGCGATTGGTTATGTAAAAAGTTGAAGACGGGCCGTTACAAAGTCTTAGATCTTGAAGCCAGTATGAGACTGTCTCAGTGTCTGCTGCTTGCCAACTAACTATGGAGTGAGCTAGTTACTGACAAGCCAATCGAGGTTGAAAAGAGCCGAAGACATTCCAGATTGCACTATAGGGTAGAACACCCATAAATCCTGTTCACCATGCTTGGAAACATATCAGATTCCAACATGGAGAGGTCTCAACAGCACTAGGTCCTTGGCGAGATCCAAATCCATACAACGTTATCAATATTAGGCGATGAATGTCAGGGTTTAAAGTCTAATCCAATCGTATGACAGCGCCCCGCCTCTGCCTATAGACTCGTATGCGCCGCGAGGGCGAGAGACATTTGGTCATTTTCAAGACATTGAAGTGGAACCTGTCCTTGCCAAGGGACATACATTTCTCCTCCAACCCCCCCTTTTCGGAAAAGTCCACGACGCCCATACTTAAACGAGCTTCGACTGGGATATCTGCAATTGGAAATTATCTATGTGGCACAAAGTTTTTGTTATCGTTCTCTCCCACCACCATAGCAAAGAATGTCTAATTATCAGATAAACATAATTCAATGTCTCAGATCGGATATCAGATTTGGATATAACTTCTTGACTGCTGTAAATCCCAGCTAGCTACCACACAGCAAATTAATAGCTACAGAAACGGAGGGTATCGTCGCCACAAGTACAGAGTATCTGTCCATGCCCTGAACGCCACCCCATGCACCACCGTCCACTCTAGAATTCCAAAAACTTTCCCCCAAGAGCCACCGCAATACCTCCCCCAAACATTGCAACGACACTCACGAAACTAGCCACGCTCAGGCCAGCCATCCCACTAATACCATGCCCACTCGTGCACCCCCCAGCCACCCTTGACCCAATAGCCATCAGCACACCACCCGCCACAGCTGCTGCATCGCCCACTTCAACTCCCTTGGCGGGGAAGGTACCCGAGAGGCGCCAGAATGCCGCACTACCGCCTGCCACGCCTGCTCCAAAGATAAGGGGTGAGATGGAAGGCCATGGGGACGAAGAGGGCATGACAGCGCGCCAGAATAGTTTTCCAAACGATTCGTAGGCGGAGGACACACCGAGGGTGTTCGTTGTCAAAAGAAGGGACGACAGTTGAGCCAGGGCCATCAGTGAGCCGCCAATGAGGGGATTTAGTAGCTTGCCCTGCTCATCAGGTAGATAGCGCAATGCCGCACCGACAACCGACAGGCAAATGGCTTGATACACTAGCACGGCCGGAAAGTGCACAACACCACAGCGTTGCGGGATCGTAAGCTTCGGCTTCTCTTCGCCCTTCACAGCTGCCGGCGTCGCGCGTCGGAACCCCGCAGAGTACCCAACGAACAACGCGCCCCCGACCAGAGAGCCGGCGAGTACGGCGAAGCCCGAGCGCAGACCCATCCCGACTTGGACGAGGACGGTGCCGGGGCAGGAGCCGGTGAGCGCCATGCCGGCGCCAAGGAGGAGGCAGCCGGCGATGTTGCCATCGTAGGGGAAGTAGCCCCAGGCAGCGGGGGAGCGGGGCGGGCAGGGGGCGAGGGCGGCGCGCTTGGTGAGGTGGATTATAAGACTGGATGAGAGGTTAGTGTGGGGTTGTGAGGGAGGGCAAGTGGAGAGGGGGATGCAGGGGTGGGATGCTTACGCGCTGCCTGCTGTGGCGGTCAGGAAGACCTCGAGCATGTGGAAGTTCTCGAGGCGGAGCTGGGAGATGATGATGGATGGGGAGGCGACGCCCGCTGCGGAAAGGGCGGCGCCGAAAAGGAGGCCAGAGGTGGCGGCTGAGAGAGTCTGGGAAGCCATTGCTTGGAAGGAAAGGAAAGTATTTAGACACAGAGGAGAGTGTGTATAGCGTGTAAAGAAAAGAAGAGGGCCTCTGTGGCGCATTTGTAATTTGAGGCCTCGATTGCGTGCCAGATGGCGGCAATCGCTCCCGCAGTGGGGCGGCTTGGTGGTACAGCAAGTCAATGAAAATGGCATAACTTCTTACAAAGGAAAACTCGACAGTAAAAACTACAGTATATAGAATGAAAATGGATTAATTGAATTACTACACTATCTACGGAGCCTACGTACTATTTATGTTATTCGGACGGCCTGTGATAAAATGGGAAAAGCTGCCATGCCACCGTATCCCGCTTGACGCTTTTCCCGAGTGTTGGAGAGTAGGCCGTGGGCGTGGGATACGGTGGTATTTGGCCCTATAATCCACTACGGCATCCCAGGATCTCCGACCGGTGCTGGAAACCACCACAGTCTCAACTGGGGTTTCAGCTCTGAAGCCACCAGAATAGGGGGCTTTTGGGGGGTCGAAGCAGAACCTCCGAAAGGCCTACAAATAGCCACGTAGGCCCATTAGATAGTGTAGTTAATCAATCGATCTTATTTTGCTATAGTAAGCTATATACTGTGTGAGAATTCCTGCCCCGTTGCACCCGTGAGAAGTCCCGACCACTGGAGAAACCACATGATTTGTGTGTGATCCCGTACCACGGTACTTCCTGTTCCAACACCGAGACATCCGAAATACAGCCACGTGACGTGTATAAAGAAACTCCGAGACTCATAACAGACACATACTTACTCAAGAGGGTAATCAGAGGCCAAGACTCGATTTTCAAGCTCCCGTAATTCTCTTACATTCTGCCGTATACTGGTATACGAGCAAGCATACTGCAAGACGGGTTGGACCGGCTCAACTTGACTGAACTCTCACTTGTGCGGCGTGCATTTTCTTGCATTTATGCACTGAATATCATCGGCGAGAACTATCCCCATCACGTGAGATCGACGATCAGTCATCAGAGACACAAGACTATGGAGTGGAGTAGTAAGCGTGGGAAGGCCGCATTGATTAATCAGGCTGCCACCAGTATACGCGGGGTGCGAGACGACGACAATTTTATGCCACTACTACTTGAGTATTACAAGACGCGGCGGCCCACTTTGAAAAGGGCAGATACCACGGATCTCGCCACCGATACACAATCACCTCCTTGCTTACCAGTTTCACCGAGCAGTTCCGGCCGTTATATGACCCTTAGGACAGCGTACATATGTCAACGACCATGGAGGGCAGTGGGAGTAGTGTTGGAGGCGGTGGCGGGACCGGGACAGGCCAGCGTGAGCAAGACACACATCCATCTCAAGTCTTGGCGTCCACAGCTAACGACAAACAACAGGAACATCATGTGATTCATGTAAACGCTCCAAGGTGAGCGCTGAGCACTGCTCCACACTTATGAGATATGATACTAACCCCCTCTATAGCTCAAGTGCATCAAACTGCATCCGGTGCACAGCCCGTAGTACTGAATGTCAGGTCACTCTAGTCAGCAGGAAGAAGCGGGAAAAAAAGATGTTTGTCATCACCCCGTTCTCACTACCCCTGTTATACTAACGCCTTACAGTCACTATCTCTCCGCAATCGAGGACCGCATGAAGCGCATGGAGTCCGCCATGAACGCGTCCGGGATCGCCGTCGATGATGGGGACCCCGAGGCCGCCATCCCCGCCGTCTCGGCACAGTCGGCTCTTGAGGACAAGCTCTCAATCTTCATGATCAGCGATGACGGTGCTGCCGGCTTCGTGGGCCCCTCATCAGGCTTCTCGCTCTTCTCACCGCAGGGCCTGCGCTGGATCTCTGAGAAGACAGGAGACGACAACTTTGAGCAGGTCATCAAGGCAGTCTCTAGCTCATGTGAGCACCGGGCGACTAGCGGGCAGGAAACATTCCGACCACTCTCGGAGAGCGAGAGGGAGCCACTACCGCCCAAAGATATAGCGAATGAGTATATGGCCGCATACTTTGACAATTTCAACAACAGCTTTCCGCTGTATGACAAGGAAAGCGTGATGGAGAGGTTCGGAAGGGATTACTATATGGTGAACCGTGAGAAGGATCCGGCGTGGTACGCTTCGCTGAATGTTATATTCTTGATCGGACGGTCTATCACTATGCATGAGAGGGAACCGAATGGACTTTGCGAGAGATACTTCAGGAATGCAGCTAGTGTTTTCTCAGAGCTGTTGTTTAGTGGACCTAGCTTGCTAGCCGTGCAGGCTATGATTGGAATGGTAAGCCCCCTGAAATATCGTCCACTTTTCACTAACAATAACAGGCCTTTATCCTGCAAGCGTCAGAAGACCCTCATCCATCATATATCCTTGTGGGCATGGCAGCACGACTTGCCCAAGCAATCGGTCTCCATCGGCGATTAGATGGGTATGGACTGAAAGCGCGGGATATCGAGCAGCGCCGCAACGTCTTCTGGATCGTCTTCGGCCTCGAAAAGGGCATCAGCATCCGCTCTGGCCGTCCATCCGTAACTTTCCGCAGCATGTGCAACTACTACCCCCTGACCGCCTCGCTCACCCTCTTCGCCAACGTTCTCCAAAACCCCTTAGCCCCAAGCGCCACCAGCGACCTCGCCCTCATGAACCGCGTCACCCGCATCCTCGTCGACGGTCTCTCCTCCTCCTGCAACGCCAAGGCCGCCATCCACGCTGACATCTTCAAAGAATTATCCGCACGGCCGCGCAGTTCGTCGCCCGCGCCCGCGGCGAACCACGAGACACCTACCTCGACCCCTCCACCCTCCCCGCCCCTCCACCCTCCCCGCCCCGCCAATCGACTGCTACTACCCCCCCTCTGTCGCCTCCTCCGGCGTCTCCCCCTCCGCCTCCGCCACAGACGCCTCCGTCTCCGACGCCCTCCCCCGCCTCGAACCCTCCGTCTCCCACCACTCTCCACCCCGTCCCCCGCCACATCCACATCCCAATCCACCACGCACCTCCCGTTCCCCCAGCGCACGCCCTCACAGCAACAACTGCAGTCACAGTTGGAGTACTACGGCCCCAAACAAGGCCTCCCCGGTACTCCCGGCGCAGGAATCATCCCGCCCGCCTACGACCCCGATTTCTCCTCCACCATCCCCTCTGTCGACCTCTCAGCGTTCGATATTAATAACTACGCGTGGCTGGACACGAGTGCTTTTCCTGGCGCTCAGGGCGTGGAGGCAGCGGGCGGGGCGGGGGGGGTTGGATATCGAGACGTTTGCGGCGGGTGGGACGGATGGGGGTGGTGAGATTGGGTATGGGATGGGGGCGACGGGGATGTTTGCGGATTAGGGCGCGTTCGCGCCGATGGTGTTTCAGTGGGATTTGGCGGATATTTGGCAGGGTGGGGGTGGGGCGTTTGGGAAGTGAGGTTTGCTTGGGGAGGCAGTGGTTAGAGGAAAGGAGTGATGCAAGAATGGGGGAAGAGGGAAGGAGCGATGAAGTGATGAAGAGAAGGGAAGGAACGAGGGGAATTAAGAATGAGGAGATGGAAAGAGCGAGGTGAGGGAAGGAACGAAGGAAGGAAGATCAAAGGGAATGGGACGGATGGAGTGAGGTTAAGGAAGGAGCAAACAAAGTCAGGGAAGGAGCGAAGCTCTTTACTCCTCCCCCGCCCTTTTTTTTAATGATTTTTTGGGCGCATCTCCCGTTGTCAACGCCGGAGTTTGTGGGTTTTGGGTAATATATGGGTTTGGCGTATTGTTGTATATTAGTCCCCCAGCGAGGGCCAGAACTTCACAGCTCGCTCTTTTTCATCATCGTGTTTAGTGGTTTCTATAACTAGAGGGGTGGTATATGTACCGGGAGGGGGGGTATATAGTAAAGCCACGATATAAACGCACTTTTTTTTGGCGCAGGTTTTTGATTCTATAGTAGAAGCTTCCTGGCAGCTTGGTTGTTGTCGCCGCCTAGTTTCTTGTCGTGACCTCAGTGCTGTCGCTACTCAGTTGCTGTCGTGCTTGTTGCTGTCGCTGTCGCCAAAGCCACACGCCATAATGTACTGGTCTATTGGCGACGGCGTGGGTGTCTGCTTGTCGTCTTTAGTGTCAGCGTCGAGCTTACTTTAGGAGCTAATTTGTAGTTAGTTTAATGCTTAGTAGGAAAAGAAGCATATGGCGACCAACCCGGACAGTTTTCTATGCATTTGCTGTATCTACGAGTCAACTCATGATTGTGTATAGCGGACGTTCGTTTAGCCCAGCTTCAAGTACCTGGCGATGGCGATGGCGACAGCGAGACGCAGATCTTGCGCACCTTTCGTGGGGTGGCCCTACAAGACAAGTGGACCGCCGCAATTTACGGCGGGTGGAGTGAACCGTTTTCTTTTCGTTCGTATGGTGCCGTGCCCTTATTATTATATTAGTATTAGTACTAGGTTACTCCACAAAATGAGAGCATGGCATGCATGGCATGGCACCACATGGCGGATACATCACACGCCGTCAGCCGTCAGCCGTAAGCCGTAAGCCGTAAGCCGTAAGCCGTAAGACGCCGTCACCCACGCCGTCACCCACGCGCTAAGAATGGAGACGCCTAGCCGGCCACTAATCTGGGCCCATGGCGGCACATCTTCATATTATCCCTCTACGTAAATTGCTCATCCACCTACAGCTACAGCGGCGCCATGGTCATAGCCATGCTCTGCTCTCCTCTTCACACAACGCAAGGGGTCCTAGCCTAAGGGGTCCCTAGTTGCCGATCTTGTTGGGTTCCTAGTGCGTTTCTTTTCCCGGAGACTACTCCCGACTGGCCTGTGCTGAGTGTTGGATTGGATGAAGGGTGAAGGGACATGCATGCTGGCCTAATTCCAAAGATCGTGATAGTGGCGCCCCTATTAGATTTCTAGTGGTAAGTGCCTGCGCTCCGGCTGGGCCGGTGGGGGGAAGGTGTCCACCTTCTTTGTTCTCTCAGTTCCAGTCGCTGCCGTAGCCGTTTCTTTGGTCGCTGCCTCGTCTGTTCTCTCTCTCCCTCCCTCTCTCTTCTCTCTCTCTTTCAGTTCTGGCCAGTCTTTCCTTAACCTCCCCCTCCAGCCAAGAATCAGCCGCCCGGTTATCGGACCATCCGAGTCTCGATCCCCAGCTACCATGCTGGACCGCGCATCGGGGCTGCTGAGCAAGCTCCGCTGGCGGAACGTGGTGCTCACTATCGTTGTGCTGACGATTATACACTTCGCATTCCTGGACGACACGCTGCAGAGTGTCTATAATGCGCGCGCCGGGAAGGTAGCTGACGTGCAGGCGCATCCCGAGTTGTCAACTGGGACGAATGCCAAACCCGCCGGGAGTGCCGTATCACCACCACCAACACCTACCGCGGCAGCCACAACCATAATCCCCACCCCCACCTCCGTCGCGCCCTTCGAGGCCGGCGACACCACCGAGCACATCGCCATCTGCCTCTCCGTCAAAGACCAATACGCCGACCTCACCGAATGGCTCACGCACCACTATCACCACCTCGGCATCCGACGCTTCTACCTCATGGACGACGGCTCCTCCCCCGCCCTCGCCACGCTCAACTACTCCGCCTTCGTCGACCCAAAAACCATCACGCACCGCTACTACCACCCGGCGCTGCACGAGCGCTACCAGCAGCTCGCGACTTACAACGACTGCATCCGCCTCTTCGGACACAAGCACAAATGGATCGCTTTCATCGACGCAGACGAGTTCCTGCACGTCCGCGGCAACGAAACCTTACTCGATGTCTTGAAACCATATGATGACGATGACACCGTCGGCGCTTTCGGCGTCAACTGGCAGATCCACACCAGCGGCGGCCTACTCACCCGGCCCCCCAGCGCGCGCAAGGGATTCACGCGCTGCATCGAGGACCAAGACCCTAACCACCCCCCCAACGTCGGCACGGAGAACGAGCACATCAAAGTCCTCGTCAAGCCCTCCCTCGCCATTGGGCCCGACAGTCCGCATAAATTCAAGCTGAAGGATGGGGCGAGAACCGTCGGGGAGGATGGCGATACGGTTGATCGGATGGCGTGGCGGATTCCGATTACGCGGAATAGAGTGGCGCTGCATCATTATGCGACGAGGAGTCGGGAGGAGTATGAGGCAAAGATTAGTAGGGGGAATGGGATGGGGGATCCGAAGGGGTGGGATTGGTGGAATCATGTTGAGGCGATTAGGACGGATGAGTGCTTGGAGTTGGCGGTTTTGGATCCTTAGCCGGGGGGAGGTATAGGAGGGAGAGCAGAGGGAGAGCAGAGGGAGAGGAGGGAGAGGAGAGGGAAAGGGGGGGGGAGGGACGGGGTTTAGTATAGTAGAGGAGCGGGGAGGGGGCAGTTGGATGATTTACGTGAAGCCGCGCCCGTATACGACTTGGTTATAAAACGCTGTCTGTAATGGAACTTGGGTAGCAACAGCAACATATACGAGTACAAAAACCACATCATAGAAGTAAAACAACATATTTTTTTAAATAAGCACTCACTCAAATCTATTTCTAATCCTTCCTACAAATTACTGCAAAGAAGATCTATCCAACGACACTACGCTACTCGAAACGGACATCCGACCCCGCGCCCCCTACATCACAAACCCCCTTCCGTCAACAACCTCATCTCAGCGAAAACCCCACCTCCCTCCGGCAGCCAACTCACCAACCCTCCTCTACTTCTTCTCAGCCAAATCCAGCAGTCCCTGCAAATTAATACTCTTCGGCCTCTCAATCGGCAACCCCAGCGCCCTATCCCACACCAACTGCGCCAACGGCCCCAGCCCCCTACTAACCCCAAACGTCGCCGTATAATACAGCGTCTCATGGAACCCGTAGTGGTGGAACAGCACCCCCGAGCTGCTATCCACATTCGGGAACGGATTCTTCGTCTTCCCGTGCTCCATCAGCACGCCGGGCGCGACCTCGCTGTTCATTTTCACCAACTGGAAGAGGGGGGAGGCGGCGATGGAGGGGCGGCTGGAGGCGTAGGTCATGAGGGCGTCGAAGCGCGGGTCGGGCTTGCGCAGGACGGCGTGGCCGTAGCCGGGGACCACGCGGCCGCTGTTGAGGGTGGACCAGAGGTAGTCTTTTACGTTGGCGGGGGTGGGGGTGGCGCCGATGTGCTCTTGCATTTGGAGGACCCAGCGGAGGACTTCTTGGGCGGCGAGGCTGGGGGGGTGTTAGTGGGTGGGGGGGATAAGGTCAAGGGTGTGAAATGTTGAGAGGAGGTGGGGGTGGGGGAGAAGAGGGGGGAGGGGAGGACGAACCCGTGAAGTGGTCCAGCGAGACCCTGGAGTCCAGCGGAGTAGGAAAGAAAGGGGTCGCTCAGCGCGGAGCCAACCAAGTGAGTGGCGTGTGCCGAGACGTTTCCACCCTCGTGGTCACCGTGCAGGGCAAGGTACAAACGGAGAAGATCCTGGAAATCCTCGTGCTTCTCCCCACCACGTCCCAGCATAGCAGCGAAGTTGTACGACCAATCCTGCGCGGTGTCGATCTCGGCCGGCAGCGCGCCGCCGCCGTTATACGCGTTCTGGTAGATCTTAGCCGCGATGGTAGGCAGCTTGGCGAGCAGCGAGATGGAGTCGTCGAAGGTAGGCTCCCAGTAGTCGGCCTTGTTGATGCCGGCCTCGTACGCCTTGGCGAAGGACGAGGTGTGGTTCAGCGCCGACACAGCGATGGCGAACTGCGTCATGGGGTGCAGGTCCTTTGGGAGGGAGTCGAGGAGGGCGTTGACGAAGTTGGGTAGTTGGCCCTGCTCGGCGAGCTCGCGGGAGAACTGGCGCGTCTGCCCGACGGTCGGGACTTCGCCGGTGAGGAGGAGCCAGAACATGGCTTCGGGGAGCATTTCGGTGCCGGAGGTGCCCTTGGGGAGCTCAGCCTGGCACTCCTTGATGGTGCGGCCGTGGAAGCGGATGCCCTCGTTGGCGTCGAGGACGGAGCCCTCCCAGACCATGGCTTTGAGGCCGCGCATGCCGCCGAGGGTGTTCTCAATCTTGACCTCGCCGATGACTTTGTCGCTGTGGGCTTTAACTTTCTTGAGGAGCTCGCGCTTGGCGGGGATGACGGCCTTCATGGTGTCTTTCAGGCTGGGTTCCGAGGAGCTGGCATAGCTGCGGGTGGCATTGATGAGGATTGGGCGGAGGGTGGAGGGCTGTGGGGTGTTAGGAATTGATCGGGGAGGAAGAATTGAGGGCGTGGACTTACGCGCAGAGCCCTGAAGGCCCTCGTCGTGGTTCTCGCGTTCATGGCCATTGTGATGTATGGTATGGATGTGGTGAAAGCGGGGAGAGCGGGGAGTTGTTGCGATAAGAAGAGCTCGTCTACGACGATATCCGTGAAGGCGACCGGGGTATATGAAGCTTCAAAGGAGGATATAATCGATAGATAAACAATATTTATAGGGAGATGTAAGAGCTAAAAATCGGGGATTGTGACTTTTGTTGCGTGCGTGGATTGGCGGTGATGGTTGTTGGTGTGGTGGTTATGCCGAAACATGCCGAGGGAAGGCTGTCAATGGATAGACGATGCGACGGTGTCTAACCGGCAATCGCCCGCAGTTAGCCATGGATAACATAATTTGCTTGGACTGCATGTGGCAACTGCTAACTCTGACTGACTAACTCAGCGATCTACTGGCCGAACTTCGCTGTGAGGATCTCGAGAATATCTTTATCCTCATCCTTATGACCGAGTTCTTGTATATTATTTGTTATATACGCAGATAGAGAGCATACATACCAAGAAATAGTCGACATTCCACCACACCTGCGAGCTCACCACCTCCTCCGCACAGCTGTGCGAAAACCACCACCGCCACCAACCCCCATTACCTTCACCATGCTCCGCAGGATAGCTTCGACGCTCCCTCGCAAAGCCCCAGCAACACTCACCGGCGCCCTCTCACAACCCCGGACCCGCCTCCTCTCGTCCGCCGTCCCCAGGATGGCAGCCCTCAAGCCCGCCAGCCCACCCATATCCGCACAGCTGCCCTCCGACGGCTTCCAGCTGCTGCCCGAGAGCGAGAAGGCCGGCGCGGCAGAGGACGCGCTGTACGACCAGCAGATCAAGGATGTCGAGGCGTGGTGGGCGACCCCGCGATACGATGGCATCAAGAGGCCTTACACGGCTGCGGACATCGTCTCGAAGCGCGGCAGCCAGCTGCAGTCATACCCCAGCTCCGTCATGGCGAGGAAGCTGTTCAACCTCATCAAGGAGCGCGAGGCGGCAGGAGAGCCAATTCACACAAGTACGTACTACCATTACACACCCTACGAGTCTACAAGAATGAGACAGTGCTGACAAAACTACAGTGGGAGCAATTGACCCCGTCCAAATGACCCAACAAGCACCCAACCAAGAAGTCCTCTACGTCTCCGGCTGGGCCTGCTCCGCCGTCCTCACCACCACCAACGAAGTCTCCCCAGACTTCGGCGACTACCCCTACAACACCGTCCCGAACCAAGTCCAGCGCCTCGCGAAAGCACAATCCATGCACGACAGGAAACAATGGGACGCCCGCCGCAAGCTGACCTCCGAGCAGCGCGTCAAGACCCCCTACACCGATTTCATGCGCCCCATCATCGCAGACGGTGATACCGGTCACGGCGGCCTCTCCACGGTCCTCAAGATCGCCAAGCTCTTCGCCGAGAATGGCGCCGCAGGTGTACACTTCGAGGACCAGCTCCACGGCGGCAAGAAGTGCGGCCACTTGGCCGGCAAGGTCCTCGTCCCCGTCGGCGAGCACATCAACCGCCTCGTCGCCGCGCGCTTCCAGTGGGACGTCATGGGCTCCGAGAACCTCGTCATCGCGCGCACTGACTCCGAGAGCGGCAAGCTCATCAGCAGCGCCATCGACGTCCGCGACCACGAGTTCATTCTCGGTGTCGCCGACCCAGCCATCAAGTCCCTCGCCGAGACCCTCCAAGCCATGGAGCAGTCCGGCGCCAAGGGCTCCGAAATCGATGCCTTCGAAGCCGACTGGGTCAAGAACACCAAGCTCGTCTCCTTCGACGAGGCCGCCGTCCAAGCCTTCCAGGCCCGCGGCGTGCCCCAATCAGACATCGACGCCTACCTCGCGCACACGGCCGCGAACCGCGACCTCTCTGTCACCAAGCGCAACGAGTACGCGCAGCGTTTCACCGACTCGCCCATCTTCTTCTCGTGGGACGTGCCGCGCACACGCGAGGGCTACTACCACTACCGCGCCGGGATGACGGCGGCGACCAAGCGCGCCATCGAGTACGCGCCGTACGCCGATCTGCTCTGGGTCGAGACGGGCGACCCGGTCGTCAAGGACGCGGCGCGGTTCGCGGGTGAGATCCGCGACCGCCATCCGGGCAAGGGACTCGTGTATAACTTGTCGCCGTCGTTTAACTGGAGCGGGCACGGATTCACGGATGAGACGCTCAAGTCGTTTATCTGGGACATTGCGAAGCATGGGTTTGTGCTGCAGCTGATTTCGCTGGCGGGGATCCACTCCACGGCTACGATTACGACGGAGCTGTCGAGGAAATTCAAGGATGAGGGCATGTTGGCTTATGTCAACCTGATTCAGCGCCCGGAGAAGGAGTTGGGAGTTGATGTGCTGACGCACCAGAAGTGGAGCGGGGCGAGCTACATCGACGGTATCCTCGGCGCCATCCAGAGCGGCAGCAGCAGCAGCAAGAGTATGGGAGAGGGAAATACTGAGGGGCAGTTTTAGAGTAAAGGGTCCGGAAGGGCTTGCAGGTGGGGAAGGGGGGCCAGGGATAATTGTACATAGAGCGAAGATAAGCCACAGAGAGCCGTATTCCGAGAAAAAACAAAACAGAAAGGCCACAGCAAAAAATAGAAGTAGCAAGCCATAGTGCCAAGCTGGAGCGATGGCACTTAAACCCTCACGTGGAAGGCCCGAAGCAAGTTGATCAGTGAACGTCGTCCCGCCTATCCGCCGCCACGGCGTGCCAACCATTCGGCGTGGGCGCCATCAACCCCAAACTCTAACTCCGACCTAATCCCCAAGCCCCCCCTTCCCTCCACCTCCACAACCCCCAGAATCCAGCTGCCGCGATAGGCACTACCACGGCACACAAAGGCAGGAATTTCCCAGGATCGCCGAGTGGGCCACGCGGACCTTTATATAAAGTGCGGACGGGCTGGCGTCGCAGCCCGTCAAATCTGTCGCTGCCGGTTAATCTCTGCATCCCCGCCACCCCGCAATATAATAGATTGGAAACATCACCGGGGGGCGTGCCTGTGCCCCCAAACCTAAATATTTCCACCAGTGCCGCCGCGCCGCTGCTAGACGACGGATGGGCCATGAGGTCTGTGGGCGACTAACGGGAGAGGGAGGGTATCGGCGCTGCGGCGCGGTGGAGGGTTTGGCTCCGGGGAGGCGCCGTGGCGTGGGATATATAAGAAGAGCGTAGGCCAGGGGGGGGATGCGGGTTGGAAGGAGATCTCGATCGTCGATCGCACCGCAATCCATATCACTCTTCAAGCCCTTCGTATGCGTTTCCAGAAAACCTCCCTCGTGGCCGCCGCCTCCCTGGCCTCCACCGTCGCCGCCCACGGCTACGTCGATAAACTCGTCATCGGCGGGACCGAGTACACGGCATGTCTTCCCCCTCGCCCTATATATGTCCAGAAACTAACGCCGCTGGAAATAGGGATACCAGCCCTACTCAGACCCGTACTACCCAACCCCCCCGCCACGCATCGTGCGCGCCGTCCCCGGCAACGGGCCCGTCCAGGACCTGACTAGCATCGACATCCAGTGCAATGGGTATTCCGAGGGCGGCGCCGTCGGGTCGAAGCCAGCGCCGCTTGGCGGTCCGGTAGCTGCAGATTCAGAAGTCAGCCTTAACTGGACGTTGTGGCCAGATTCCCATGGTGAGCGAGCCCTTACCTTGCTGTCCTTTTGAGGGCGAGCCCCGTCCGTGTCTGTCGTGCTTTGATGAAATCGTGACGTGTGGGCACTAGGAGTTTGTGTGTGGGGTACTGGGACCGACGATTACATATATGGCACTCTGTGAAGGCGAATGCACGACCTGGCAGCCTGGGACTGCGGACTGCGTGAGTTTCACATCAGATCATAATGTCTTCCAGCGCGACTAACAAGCCACAGGGCCGTCTGGTTCAAGGTCGCAGAGATGGGCAGAGTTGGAACCAGCAACGTCTGGGGATCTGTACCTCTTACATCTTGGATACTATTCGTGAGCCATGAGACGACCGCCGAGCTCCAAGGTCGTATTCCCTGGCGCATACAAGGCGACTGACCCGGGAATCGTATACGATTCGTACAAGGCGCAGACATACACCATCCTCGGCTCAGCCTTGTTCACTTGCTAAATGCTGTTGGAGCTGAGGATGGGAGAGTTGGCGATGTGTGGGAGGTAGGCAGGAGGCAGGACGGCTTTGGATAGTGGAAGGGGGAACTGTGAATATCTGGCTATGATGAGGTTGTACATAGAACCGAGCTCTTTCCGTTCTTGATCATATTTTGAATGAAATGTTTCGCCCGAGGTTCAGCTCGAGTCTCCAAATCGTTCGATATTTCGCCACCTAACAATCCACCCACGCTTCAATCCGGCTTCAGCTGGCGGTGTGCGTTTGTGGACGGAACAGTCCAGACATGTCTTAATCCTGCGATGCGAGCGAGCCCAACAATATTCCAGCCTAATAATAGTGACTCGGTCTTACTCGTGTGGCACATTTTGACTTGTCAACACACCGTGTTACACACCGTGGGCAACATCGGAAGAGAGCCTCCCCGGCGCCTCGCACTAGAGGGTTTTAGCTGCTCGACCAACGATGTAATTAGCCATTACCTATTGTACTAATTTCCAAGCTGCCAAGTGAGGCAAAACCCCGATATAATGATCATGTGATGATGTTGAACACATAATTGGAGTTTGACGACTTGATTGAGTAAACTATGGGTGCGAAGCCCTATATATACTGTGCAGCGTACATCTAGGAACGTAGTTCCAACAGATGATATAAGGATACCTGGCCAATAAGGATGTTTTGTCCGCCCTACGAGTACCGCTTTTTTGGTGCGGATTAAGGATAACCCTGTTCTTTAGGATATCCCTACGGATTTTGCAACCCTAGATCCCTGTCCCTACCTAATTATCCTTATAACTTAAGATGGCACCGAAAAGACAAGCTATTATAGATGCGCAAAGACGTAGTATTTGTCGTCGTCATGCTCAAACTAGGGAGATGCAGGCAGAGACAATAGCTCGGTTTGCAGCACAACTAGGTGGGAGAATCCTCAGATCCATTTCCACAATGACCTCCTCCTCTTATACATATCTCAACAGCAACGATCGAAAGGATAATAAGCTAGACTCCTAACGAAACTATCAGGGTGATTATCCTGATCTTGAAAACGCGTTATACCATTGGCATATACAGATGGAGAAGAAGAAAGCGGTTCTTACAGGCGATATCTTAAAAGCAAAAGCACATGAAATCTAGTCCCTGTTGCTGCAATATAGTTAACAAGAGCCTAAATGGTCAAACGGCTAGCTTAATCGATTTAAAAAGAGACACAACATCAAGGAGTATAAGCTACATGGCGAAGGAGGATCTATAGACATCTACAATGAGGATGTAGTCAAACAGATGGACAATTTACGTGCTAAGTGCTCTAGCTACAACTTAAAAGATATATTTAACATAGATGAAACAGGACTCTTTTAGAAGCTACAGCCTAATCATTCTCTTGCAACCACTAGATAAGTAGAGGAAAGAAGAGCAAGTGTTACGATGGTCATAGAGGTCATGATGCCAGTCTAGGTAAAGTTGCCACGGTTCACCAAGGCATAGGGCGCCAGTTGGGTATTATGAATTAAACTCAATCTAGAGAAGAAAGGAAAGAGAAGAGGAGCACTCGAGCAGTGGCTCAATCTATATACAGCTATGTTGTTGTGGAGTGAAGTCTCTTTAGCAAGACCAGTTCTGAGAATTCACTCCACAACTGAAAACTTCGCTCCAACCCCGGAAAGCTCCCCACACCCCTGAACCCCCACTCGAGCTGCAAGGCGTACTTGATATCGTAACAAAAGTAAGCTAGATTGAATCTAAAGAGAGAAGAAGAAGAAAGGAAGGAACAAGGTGAGGCTATTCCTCATTATATGTAGCTGTGTGCTTAGCAATCCCTTATAACCTTAGTGGCTACTATAGCTGCCTGTTCCCATAGTTGCTAAGTGGATGACAGAGGTCATATACGAGTGTTTCCTACAGTGGCTTAATAATAAGATGCGTAGACAGAAGGTCATCTTACTCCTTGACAACTTTTTAGGCCATGAACTTAGCATATAAAAGATAGGAGGGCTAGACTGTTATAGCTATGGTAACGTGACGTCAGTTACAGGGCTAGCTGTAAGGACACAGGGCACCCAGCTCACAGTAATAGCATATGAGAGTGCGAGTCGGAGGCTAAACGGATGCTATCCTATAGGTCTACTACGAAGGATACAAAAAAAATGATGAGGAACCCCGTTGGGTCAATCCCCTTAAGTACCCGAACGGGTCCGACTCGGCTAACCGGCCCTAACTCTCCCCACGTGACCGTAACCCATCCGAATCAGATCCCTTCCATCACTGAGGGTGGAGGCAGGGCAGAGGCATCCTTACACTAGCGGAACTAGGCTTGGTAACGTGACCTAGGAAGTCATAGGGCTAGCAGGGCTAGGCTGTAGCGTGACTAACAAAGAAGTCACGGGGCTAGTGGGGCTAGGCTGCAGCCTTACCAAGCTAGTCGATTGTTGCAGAAACTAGTGGATATTGGATAGTTGAGCTATCCATCAACTATCTGGATTACCCATAAGGCACGACGCCACTATATAAGTAGATAGTATTCCCTTAGATAGGAGCTTCATGCTCAACTCAATATAGTATTCTTTACAATACTGTAACATGTTACTTGGAAAGCCTTTGTGTTTAATCCCCTGCCTCCTCTGTCAAGTCAACCTTACACAAGAAACCTCTGTGTCTTCTATCGTTTAGAAGTCAGCGTTACATAGACAGCCTTGAAAATGTCAAGATTTAATGGCTTCTGCCAAATACTACCTCTTACTAGCAGCCTCTAGATCAAGGGATAATCGTGTCCTTTAAACTCCATTATCAACAACAATGGGTTGATTATATCCTATAAATTCTCTAGACTAATAAAAATCTAAATAAGACTGTTAACCTCCTTAAAGCAATATAGTAGACTCGAATTACATAGAACGATTTACTAATACAAACAATCCAACGCTGCTTCATTAAGTTAACAGTAGTTAAGAAACCAGTTGAGATTAAGGTTAGAGAGGCTGATGAAATCACCAATTAAGAGGCCCTTTAAGCTTAAATGGCATAGATACCAGAGGTTCAAGATCTATTAACAATCGAAGAATTTGTTAACCCTCCTGCTAAAGAGATCAATGATCTAGACAACAATGTAATAGAGGCAATTATCGAAACTTACAGTTGAGATAAAGAAGATGATATAGGAGAGGAGGGAGACGAAGGGATAGAGCTTCCTATCTCTATATCTAAGTGTTATGGCTAAGTGCTAGTGCTATGGCTAGCGCTTACGGCTGCAACCTCACGTGATGAATAACGACATTATGTTATCCATGTTATCCACGGATATCCCTTTGGCACAACGCCACTATATAAGTAGATAGAATTTCCTTAGATAGGAGCTTCGTGCTTAACTTAATATAG